TGCCGTGCCGGGCAGGTGAGAACCCCGCGGGGAGGAAGAGGAGGAGGAGGAGGAAGAGGCGGAGGCGTGCCCCTGCCTGCTGGGGTGCGCGTGTGTGTCCGTGCGTGTCTGCGCGCCTGTAACCTCTGTATCACTCGGGTCACACAGTTGCGTGTGGATCCAGCTGCTCCCCGCGTCGGCGAGGATCGCGTTTTCCAGCGTGACCAGTTCCCGCTGAGGTCCCGAGAAGTGCGTGAGTGAGCAGCGTCTGTTACCGATCACGTATATGCTGTAGGCGCACATGTGCTTCCTATGGATGCCACACATGCACTGGGCTGCAGGCTTTTCCTAATGACCCAGGGCGTTCGGCCTCGAGGGGGGATGGGGCGCAGAAGCAGGGGGTAATAACGAATTAATTGCAGATGAGAAGTAATATCCGTCTTTGAGTCATCAGTCTTTGAGGCATAATTTCATTTCGAAAGCTCTTAATCAAACTGGAGATCTGCTGTAGGAAAGCACTGCTTTTCCCATAGGATTATCAGATTTCCACCAGAGAATACAGATCCTGGATTATTGAGCTACACGGGATTTGCGTGTTTCTTTCTAATTAGTCTGTGAATCTGAGTTTAAAATTCTTTATTTGGAAGGGAGTGGGGGAGTTACTTGCTTCTAAAAGAACAGACGTCTCTTTTCTCTGACATTTTACACAGTTATTCTGGTTACGTTGTGCTCTGTAGATGACTTACTGCCTTAATTGGATATTGGTGTCAAAGGTTGATTAGACTCCCTAATAGATTTTGGATCTGCAAGAGGATTGCAGTTTTAAATGCGTGATTAAAACAATCGTGTTTGCCATCTTCCCCTCGAACAGTTGAGAGGGAGGCTGATGTATTACATTTGCGTTATTTTCTCTTTGGTTTATTAATGTGTCATCATGAGGTTGTCGGGTTTCGTTTTGTTTTTGTTGTTGTTGTTTTTTTCTCCTCTGCTATTTCATTTGCAGACCGAAAAGAAATGAATGTCAGAGAGGATTTGTTTAATCATTTAACAGCTGACATAAGCCATGTCCCTAACAAAACATTGGTGAAAGAGTAGAAGATTCCTGGGATACAGCAGCTCTGGTACGGTGAAGCCGCTTCAGTGGGTCAGGGGCAGCGTTTGCTGAAGGATGCAGTAGCCCAGGAGTGGAGACTTGTCGGGACGAGGTCGATGGCTTGCATGGAGCTTCTCTACCTGGCTGAGGAGAGCAGGCAGCCGCCCCTGGGCTCGGCAGCCGGCCG